GTATGCAAGCTCTCCATCCCTGGTAGGGTTACGAGTCTGCACTGCTGAAGAGTCTTATGCTGGGACGAGACAGTTGCCAAGTACTCCCAGATTTTCAATGGTTCTCCAACTGATGTCAGTCCATGATGAATACCAACTTGAAATAAGTAAATCCCCACAAGCGTCCATACTAAGTTCTTTTCTGGTTGGAATTCATCATGGACTGACATCAGCCAGGGGAATATTGAAGACCTGGGAGCACTGGGCAGCTGTTTCGCCCTAGTGTCAGACTCCTCAGCAGTACGTACCCAGGGATCGGACCCAGAACCTTGGGGTTCCGTGGTGAACACGTTAACCATTGAGCCACTTTGTTGAAATCCAGTGATCCATATTTCCTACTTCTATCAATTCACTAGACCGAAACACCTGTTCAGTACTCCCAGGTTTCTAATGTTTCCCCAAATGATGTCAGTTCATATTGAATTCCACCCTGAAATCAATTCACAAACATCCAGATAGAACTAATCTAGTGCTCATTGGTGACTAGCTTCTAGAGGTGACTTACGAAGTTCAAATGAGAAGTTGTGACCAGTGGAATCAATCAAATTGAACATGAGGACAGTTACTCAGTGACAACATTCAATGTAGATCGCGTTACATTATAAAGTGACAGAAACAGGAAAGATGGACCATTGGATTCCGATCCTGTGGCTCAATGATAACGTGCTGACCAAGAAACCTTCTGCTCGATTTCTGGTGGGGTTATGGGTGCGCTCGGCTAAGGAATCCCGCACTAGGACAAAACCTTTGTCCAGTGCTCCTCCAAGTAATGTCAGTCGATAATGAATACCAGCCTGAAATCAATAAATAAATCTCAACAAACCTTGGGATAAATTCTTCGTATAGAAAAGACTTTCCGAAACATGTCTATTCATATTTCCTATCAAGACTAATCGAAGGAATATTCATGTCGCACCTAACTCTTTTTTAACGGCTCTGTAAAATTTCAAGCTGTTATTCGTCTTAAACTGACATCAATTGGAGGAACAGAGGAAACCTAGGAGAACTGGACAGCTGCTTTGTCCTAGTACGGGACTCTGCAGCAGTGCGCACCTACGTCTTCGCCAGGAACCGAACCCGCGACCTTCGGGTTACATAACCAGCACGTCACCATTGAGCCACTGGGTTGGCCGGATCCATGATCCATATTTACAACTTCTGTTAGCTCATGATATAGTGCAACCGCCATCCAATGTCATCGTCCTCACCACCATCAGGCTTTGCCCCCACCAGTCATGATGACTTCTCATTGGAACTTCGGGAATCGTCTCTCGAAGTTAGTCACCAATGAGCTACCAGTTCAATTGAATTTTTCAGGGAGTTATGGGGAGTTGGAAATATTTCAAGTTGTTATTCATCGTAGACTAACATCAGTAATAATAACTTCTGTAATAATAATAATACATAAAAACTAATTAATAGAGTACTTGACACTCTAGTGATCGATTAACTAACTGTGATTACGAAGTCAAATCTACTTCATGGAGTTGTCGGCTAGATAAATTAATAAAGGCTATCAAAAAATAGTGGAGATAGGTTGTATATGTGCTTTCTTCTTTAGAAAGGAAGACTAATTATACGACAATCTACCAGATAAGCGAGATTTTCTGTCAAGTGGACATATGATGATATTAATTAAGCATTTAAATTAAGGAGGTATAAAATAGTCAAACCTTGCCTGGTTAACCAGTTTACTAGTTACTAGCTGGTCCTAAGCCCGGATAAACAGGGAAGGTTGGGTATAGGGCTAGCAACCCCACCCCGTAAAACTAGTCCAATCGCTAGAGGAACTTCAAAGCACAAACGATATATAAAAAATGAAAACAAACATATTCCTCTCTGGAATCGGAGAGACGAATTGACGCCGGTTGGTGAAAGCCTTCGGAAAGCAAGTCAGCAGATGTGTCTTCTCTCGATGAAAGCAAAAGTAAACATGGGGAATTGGAATGTCCACACCATATTTGAACCTAGGAAGGCTGACCAGGTTGCCAAGTGATGAAGAGGTATAGCATAGAAGTGCTAGGAATCTGCGAAAGCAGGCGGAATGGGAGTGGACTCTCCAAACTGTCAACTGGAGTATCAATAATCTACTCCGACATCGTCACCCAGACGACAACGACAAGTAAACTGAGTTATGAAGTGGCTATCATGATGTCCCCAACAGCATCGAAGACTCTCATGCAGTGGGAACCAGTCTCCTCCTCGAGGATCAGGATCGTGACAGCAAGATAGATTCAACTCAAAAGGAAGGAAAGTCACAATCATTCAATGCTAAGCTGTACACCTACAAATAAGGAGGAGGAATTCTACAGACAACTTCAGTCAACGCTGGATAACACCTCAGTTGGCGATTTCAAAATTCTAATGGGTGATATGAATGCCGAATTGGGAGGGGACAACACAGGAAGAGAACTAACCATGGGTCGAGAAGCGCTCGGTGAGGTGATGAACGAGAATGGAGAACTGTCTGCAGAATTATGTGTATTCAACGATTTGGTGATTGCAGTGAGACAATGTGTTCAAGCACAAGGATATCCACAAAGCGACATGGATTTCACCAGACATCAGGACACACTAAAAACCAAATCGACTTTATCTCAATCTCAAGAAAATGGAGACGCAGTCTACTTGACACAAGGTCAAGAAGAGGAGCAGATGTAGGTTCACACCACTCACTATCTAGTGCAAGGAACCTTCCAAATCAAGTTAAAAGCCTTCAAGGAAGCTGGTGATAGACCACACACAGTTCAAGTACAACACTCGGAAACTGAAGGATGAAACTACAAAGGAAATCTTCACGTCAGCCATCAAGAAAAAATGGGAGATATCGAGGAACATCCCTGAAGAAACCTGTGTGGAAGAACACTGGAAGTCTTTGAAAGCTATATGGAAAGAAACCTGCACAGCCGTATTAGGAAGGAAGAAGAAAGAAGACAAGGAATGGATCTCAATGGATACATGGAAGCTGATAGAGCAGGGAGAGGAGGATGGTGAAACAGAAGAAGAACCAGTGCAAGGATGCTCAAAGACAAGAGGAACTGACCACAATGCATAAAACACTGGGCAAAGAAGTGAAGAAGAGTGCACGGAAAGACAAAAGACACTTCTACGAAACACTGGCAAGTGAAGCAGAACAGACTGCAGGTAAGAGCGACAGAGACCTGACAACATTGTATCAAATAACCAGGTTGCTATCAGGGAAGAGATCAACACAGATGAAGCCAAAAAAAGATGATGACGGAAATCTAATTACGAAAAAAGAGAAACAAAGGAAACAATGGGCTGACCACTTCAAGAAGCTGTTGAATCGAACACCACCACCACCTGCAACTCGTCCAGAAATACCACCTGCAGTCCAGCCACAGAACTACAAGTGAACATAAATCCTCCAACAAAAATGGAAGTCCTGAACGCCATAAAGATACTGAAATGTGGGAAAGCAGCAGGACCAGATGGAATACCGCCAGAAGCACTGAGAACAGATGCAGAGACAACAGCGGACATGCTCACACCACACCACTATTGCAGAAGGTGTGGAAGGAAGAGAAGGTACCTGGCGATTGGAAGAAGGGTTACCTTGTCAAACTGCCGAAGAAGGGAGACCTCAGTGCTTGCAAGAACTGGCGCGGAATCACTCTCCTGTCCACCCCAAGCAAAATATTAAGCCGCATCATCCTGGAGAGGCTAAAGGATGTACTGGATTCAAAACTACGACCGGAACAGGCAGGCTTCAGGAAGTAAAAATCATATGCGGACCAAATTGCAACGCATCGCATCATCATAGAATCGAACAAAAAATGGCAGTCAACTCTCTACCTCAACTTTATCGACTGTGAGAAGGCCTTTGACAGCGTCGACCGAGAGGTAATTTGGAAACTGCTTCAATACTACAGAACACCGCGAGCCTTTATCCGCCTCATTCAACAACTATATGAAGATGCCACATGCCAAGTTATTCACAATGGGAAGCTCAGTTATGCGTTTGAAGTGAAGACAGGAGTGAAACAAGGTTGCCTACTATCACCTATGATATTCTTGGTTGTGGTGGACTGGATCATGCAGCAAACAGTGGGGAGCTGTGAGAAGAGGGGGATACGCTGGACCAGGGAAAACAACCTATAAGATTTGGATTTCTCCACCGATGGCTTGTGTCTGATGTCACACAAACTTGAAGATGTACAGGCGAAAACTAACAAGTTGGCAGAAGAGGTAGCGAAGAAGGGACTTCAAGTGAATGTTGAGAAAACAGAAGTGATGAAGGTATCGCACCACCAACAACAACAAACTCCAATCACCATCAACGGGAGAAACTTAAAGGAAGTAACCTCCTTCACCTATCTAGGAAGCACTGTTTCAACTACAGGTGGCACTGGCACAGACGAGGATGTGGAAGTCAGAATCGGAAAAGCAAGACAGGCGTTGATTAAGCTGAAACCAGTGTGGAGATCTTCTACACTGCACTCAGCATAAAGCCTGAACAACATTGGGATTTTCAACACTGATACCAGTGAAGTGAGTGCTTGTGTATGATGGTGGAGAGAGTTGTTGTGTTACGAAAGGGTTTCCAACAAACTACACACATTCATCAACAACTGCTTACGCTCACTAAATACTGAAGCTCAGATGGCCAAAATAATGAGAATAAGCAACAAGGAACTCTAGGAACGAACCAACCAAGAGTCTATCGCTGAACAAATATGCACTGGACGGAAGTGGAGATGGATTGGGTATAGACTGAGAAGGCCGACTGGGGACATCACGCATCAAGCCAGGTACTCGAGTGGAACCCAGATGAGAAGCGGCTAGTTGGGCGTCCGAGTGTGATATGGAGGAGGTCGTGCGAGGAGTAAATGAGAGCTTGTGGGCTGTCGTGGAGCCAGGTTCAAAAGATTTCAGAGAATAGAGTGTAATGGAGACGTGCTACTGAAGCCCTATGTTCCACTAGAAAGCCAAGGGGCAAATAATAAATAAAATGTTATATCTTTGTGTGCTACTCACAAATAAATAAGTAGTCTACAGAGTAATCAGTCAAGAAAACTTGATGAATTAATCGCCTTCGTAAAACCGTTTGATTTCAACACACGAATCTACAGCATTCTGGTTATTTCCACTGTCATGAATTGCTTTTTCATGTATTGCTAACTGTAGGCGTCGTTTTATTTTCTTGGTCATATTCTTCTCTTTCAACATTTGAAGTCTTATTACCCTGTAAAAGTAAGGTATGTATAGATATAAGTATTGTGTGATCAAATCAATAACTTCAGCAATGGTGTAGAAAGTCACTCCTACATATAGACCAGATATACCGCCAAGATCACTGATAAATCGTGCCAGATAATATCCTGGTGCTTCAATAATCTGTTGAAAATACAAGATAACAGTAGATTTTATGAATTGGTTAATCAATTTTACAATTCAGGAAGATAATAATGAACTATTCGCCTACGATTTACTCATTACAAATAATCTTGTAGATAAAAGAAAGGATAACCCTTTGGATTCTGTATGTATGAAGACGATACAGAGAGAAGAAACTTTAGAATAACTACATCCATTTCATTGTACTGTTGAAAGTGATTACTGTATACCCAATAAACATAAAATAAAAACCAAGTCAAAGGAAAGTTTCATTTCTTGAAGAGTCAAAGAATAATATACTTCACAAAACACAATACAGACATTAAGGGGTCATGATTTAGAGTGAAATGAAAACCAAGATCATAACAGAATTCCAACTAGTGGCCTCCATGTTCTCATCCTACCATAGACCAGATTTTCATTTGACTTTAGTTATCACCCGGTGTCAAAACGTGAGTGCCAAACCACAGCTATTTCAAATAATTGAAATGATGAATAATACCGATAGACAATTCAGGGATATCACAATTTTAAGAGCAGGTAGGCTCATTCAATGGAAGAAATATATAAGATTGTTGTGTTCATGATAAATAAGCTGTCTGCTTTTATAAACAACTGATATACACACATAACTTCTATCTCATATTACAAGTAAATGTTCATAAAAGTGTTTATTAATTCACTGCTTGATTAATATCTAATTTCTACTTTGCAATGTTAAATATCTGATAGGAAGCCGCATAGATCGAAATCAACATTCTAAGTCATTAAATGCATAGGTAGAATTTTTGAATTTCAACCTTGTTTCATGTTACTGTGTCAGCAGAAAAAAACCTCATTGGTCAATTTCGTCCTATATTTAACCAATCAAAATAATTAATCAACTTCTGACCTTGTGGTTTTATATTCCAGTGAAAGCTACATATAAGTGAAATGGTTTCATCAAATAAAGAGTCTTTCTTATAACCACAAGGTGATCTTTGTCTTCTAATTCCCGCTGTTCAGGCAAGTATCAGATTCTGAAGGAGAAGAGTCACTATTCGTATCCACTTCAAGTATCTCATAGTGTTTTTATCAGTCATGTATTTTATTATTATTTACTCAGTCATTTCAATTTCTTACATTCAGAGATTTGAAATGTGAAACAGTTTGCCTCAAAAATTATTATTATACGTATTTAAGCGATGGCAAATTTGCCAGCACAGACTCTCAGCGTATTTAACAAAGCCAATTGGAAACTGCGCAACTAGTTAGTTGATGCCCTCCTGAAATTAGTATTTCCTCATCATGCAACTGATAAATAGGTTCACTATTTGAGTGGGGTGACAGTCCTTTCGATTGGTACTCGAAGTTTAGACAGTATATATTCCTATAGACAACAAAGTAACATCATCTTAGCATGCTGGTAAGGTGATACCCTGGTGTAGATATTAGAAGTGTCGATTTGATTAAATCACTGTATGAAATCTGCTTTGTATCACATTTTAGAAGCCAATACTGGTTGACAGAATTAATTTTTATCTCCTCAAAGTAGTAAAGAAGAAATGTAAACACACTGTGGTCTACGAACAGTTCTAGAAGCAATGGGATGCAAATCAGACAAACAGATAAAATCAACGTAGAAGCTAACATACAAGTGCTTCAGTTCAATTTGACTGCCTTTACAGTAGTATAAAAAAAACAAGACTGACATCTGCGTCACTGCCAACGATTTTCAGCCATTTCATCAAGTATCCTTGAGGACTCCAGTTAGGTAGCTTATATCCCCCATCACTATTCAGGCTAACGTTAAGAGATTTCATCAACTGGTGCCACGTCTTGGTCAGTCCACCCTGAGCCTTCTTACAATCTAATCCAACATCCTTTAGAGTAGCACGTCGACGTGGGCGATGGTTTGGCTTGCGTAACACATATCTAGACCGATAATGGTTCACAACCTCATTACTTGATTACCTGTCTTCACCAGTACCCTTGGCTTAACCTCACACTGTTATTCCATCATATGCAAGTAATGCTAAGGAAGACACACACTTGTAACTGCTTCATGTCTTCTACTTTTGACGGCCATGTCGTGGCGTAAATCACGAATATTCGACCGTTAATGATATGGGATTTACTAGGTTTTTTTAAATTAAAACTGACTCAAAATGCTCTCAATTAGGTTTTTAACTCAAGCATGATTCACAACTCATGGGTTAATGAGGTTATTAACTGATCAAGAAAGCTAACCTTAGGTATCCATAACTTATATCAACAGTCGATTATTTCACCCATAGGTATCCTATAATTACTTGACCATCCACGGGTATTTTTTTATGAATAATGTGATCCTACTCAAATTAACATGAAGCGTAACAGTCTGAAATGAGAGATGATGTGAAATACATTTGCCAACCACTTCAACAAATAGAAGTTCAAGTTAGACACAATCTACTAGATAGCTTCGTAAAACTCGATAATACTTTAAAAGTATTACTTGCCGAAATGCTACGCCATCTAAATATTATAACGGATGACCTGTACAACAGTAAATTTTCAAAAAAACTACGCTACGGATTCTCTTCTACTTTGAACGTTGTCATTCTCTTCAAGGAATGACGACATTTCTTGAATTCGATTGGAATTCTAGTGACATTTTCCATGTTTTGCATTTCTTGCTAAACAGAAGTCTCTATATCTGCTTAATTTATACTGGTGATTGTTGATTTCAAGCCAACATTTCAAACAAGGCGCTATCTATATTGCATGTCTGTGATTGGTTGCTTAAAATTTTATTGACCTTCGGCATCGAGACTTCAGTCATCATTCATTCAAGAAGAAGATAACTTTTAATTTTAATACTGTGATCATATGACACTTAAAAATAAGCAAAACGTTCGATATTCAGAGAAACGAATCAGTTATTTATAAGCATCAATGCACATACTTCTAGGCGCCAAGCATTATTAATTATGGAGCAAGAGAAGTATAACCAGAAGAAATGTAAAGTCTAGTAGATAACACTGTGGTCTTTGAAGCAATAAAATGCTGAGTTATAGTTTCAATGGGCACAATATCATTTACTAAGAGGCAGATACGTTCAACTGATGACTCCTAGATTTAACGAAATGTACACACTGGATTCTACTGCTAGGTAATATCTATCACTACAATCAAATTTAAGATTTCAGTTTAAAATTTTACTTTCAGAACTGTACATTATAATCATAAACTGTAAGTCTAGCTTCTTATCCACCTAGCCTATTTCTATCAGGTGGATAAAACAAACGTAAATACTTACACAGAACTGGATTGGTTTAAGTTACAGAAAACAAGGTGGTGGTAAAAGAATAATAAAAAAGTAGAGAAAAGTGTATGGGGAGAGAAAGAATTTTAGAAGCTTTAGAAATTAAACATCAAAGAGTCAGTACATCTGTGCCACCTTCTCGTAAGGCTTTAGACCAACAGCCAGAGGCCTAATACACTGGTACCGCATCTTGGCCTAACAACCTTTATTTTTCTTACCGGCTAAACTTAACTAGATATGTCCAACGCAAATCCAAGCCACGTTAATAGGTAAGGGTAAACAACCTCATTGACTGCTTTGTCATCTTTTCCTAATACCTATAGACTAAGCACAATGTTATTGATACAGGAATGCCATTGTTCGTGAGCAATATTTTGAAGATACCAGTGTTTCAAATCCTGTCATATCATCTGCTTTAAACATGCGTGTCTCAGGCGTATAAACAACACAATGAAGTGCAATACAAAATACTCATCCTTCAACAGGCATTCAAATAAATTACTTGTGCAGAGTTGACATAAATTAGTAAATACCAAATAGGTCGGTCTACTGTATTGGAGCTGAGATTTCGCTAGAAACCACTCTACTCGGATTGATGTAATTCCTCAAGTAAGGGAATTGCCAATTCACTCAATTTACAAGTCATCACTAAATATTTACTAGTTAAGACCACCATCTGCACTTCGTCCAGAAATACCACCAGCAACAGCAGCCACAGAAATACAAGTGAACACAAGCCCTCCGACGAAAGTCGAAGTCCTGAAGGCCATAAAGCTACTGAAATGCAGGAAAGCAGCAGAACCAGATGAAATCCCTCCAAAAGTACTGGAACAGACGCAGGAACAAGAGCGGACATGCTCACATCACTACTGCAGAAGGTCTGGAAGGAAGGAAAGGTACCTGCCAACTGATTGGAAGAAGGGTTACCTTGTCAAATTCCCGAAGAAGGGCGACATCAGCCTTTGCAAGAACTGCCGCAGAATCATGCCCCTGTTCACCCGAAGCAAGCAAAATATAAGCCACATCATCCTCGAGAGACTAAACAATGCTCTGCATTGAAAATTATGACCGGAACAGGCTGGCTGGCATCAGCAAGTACAAGTCATAGGCGGAACAAATTGAAACCCTACACTACGCATCATCACAAAACACAGCATACAATGGCAGTCAACTCAAATCAACCTCAACTTCATGGACTTTGGAAAGGCCTTCGACAGCATCCATCGAGAAGTTATTTGGCATCTGCTCCAGCACTACGGTTTTAGCTCAACAAACCTTTATCAACCTTATTCAACAATCATATGAAGATGCCACATGCCAGCCAAGTAATTCACAATGGGAAGCTCAGTGATGCCTTTGAGCTGAAGACAGACAGGAGTAAAACAAGGCTGTCTACTATCACCCATGATATTCCTGATTGTAGTGGACTGCATCATGCAGTAGACAACAGTGAGGAGCGAGAAGAGGGGGATAGGTTGGCTGGATCAGGGAAAAGATCCTAGAAGATTTGGATTTCGCCACCGTTGACTTGTGTCTAATGTCTTGTCACACAAACTCGAAGATGTACAGGCGAAAACTGACAAGTTTATAGAAGAGGCATGGCAGCGAAGACTGGACTTCCTTCAGTTGAATGTAGAGAAGAGGGAGGTGATGAAGATACCCAATCAACAACAGGAACAACATGCTCCAATCATCATCAATGGGAGAAACTTAA